AATAAGGGCTCCCCTCAGCCTCCTCTTCTCCAGGATGAACACCCCCAGCTCCCCCAGATGCTCCCCAGCAGCCTTGGGCTCCAGACCCCTCCCCAGCTTCCTTGCCCTTCTCTGGCCCCCCCCCGGCCCCTCCATGTCCTTCTGGGAGTGAGGGGCCCAACCCTGACCCCAGCATTCGAGGGGCGGCCTCACCAGTGCCCAGCACAGGGGCACGGTCACTGCCCTGCTCTCACTGATCCATTTCACTTAAGAAAAAGAAAAATTAAAAAAAGAGGCTAAGTCAGGCTGGGGCAAACCCAAAACCAGACTTCTCTCCCACCACCTGCACTCACCTCCTAGAGAAAAGGCTTTCTGCTGAATAGGAGGATGGAGGGGGGCTTGAAATGGGCTCTGCACTCCCCAGGTGGCTGCCACCAGCATGGGCACCATGACAGAGCTCTGTAGAGCCCTGGACCCCTGCCCAGGGTGAAGGAGCCAAGGAGAGCCCAGGGCTCAAGGTGACCACACAATGTCCCCTGTCCCTGCAGCCCCCAGCAGAGCGGGGAATGAGCGCTGACAGGGGGTGATACCCAGGGGTGCCCCAGGCTGTGTGCCCACACCCCTGCACTTGGGCAGGCAGGAGGATGCGCTGCAGGGCTCCTCAGCAGATGGATGATCCATGATCGAGATGGAGATGAAAGAAAGGGCTCCAGGAACATTTCCCACAGAAGACAGCAGAGGGCCCGGTGCTCCTTGGATGCTCATGTCGTGTTGAAAGGGGAAGTAAATGGACAGAGACAAAATCTCTCTGACTTGCAGGGGTCAGAGCACACAGCATGCACAGGTAAAACCTCCTCATCGCTTGCCTTGTCCCATGCAGCTCCCTAAAATGGCCGGTGCTGCTCCCCTCTCCATCTGAGGCCAAGCCCCATGGTCTGCCTTGCAGCCCTCCCATGACATGGTCTGGGGTGGCAGTGGGACGTCTGGCATCCTGCTCCCCTGTCCTCACGCTGTCCTGGTCCCTGACCAGGTTTGTCTGCAATATCTGGTGGATCCCAGCTCCTGGCCACTGCCTTTGCCACTGCCTTTCCCTGCGGAGCTGCGGAGCAGTGAGCAGGAGAGGGCAAAGGGAGGCGGTGGGTAGCTTCGGAGGAGTGCAGAGAAGGACAAGGAGGAGGAGGAGAGCAGGGAGGAGCGCACCCTCCCACAGGAGCTAGGATGGAGCCTTGATGAATGGCCTGGCATCTTCCCAACACTCTGCCATCTCTGCCATGATGGTCAGGGCTGCAGAATAGACCTCCAAAACCTGCCCCAGGCCAAAGCCCTCAAGTGAGGGGCCAAGCTGGGCTGTGCAATGCTCACAGGGGATTGTGTCATTCCTTGGGCATTCCAGATGCAGAGGGAGAGGGAGCTGTGCTGGGCTGAGGCACAGCCACCCGGAGCTTTCAGAAAGATATGCAGATGTCATGGTTTCAGTTGCCTCTATGAGCTCTAGCAGAGCGTGAGCTCTGGCAGCCTTGCGGTTGGGGGAGCGTCAGTATGGCTCTGTGGTTTCTTAGATCTCTATCTGGACCTGTCAGATAGTTTGTCACAGCCAGTAACAGTTCCTTCCTCTGCCAGCAGACCTGGCCACACCAGAACTGGCTCTCTCGCATGTCTTGCATGGCTCGCTGCAGGGCAGTCTCCCTCTGTGATGGCAGAGGAGGGGGAGACGAGTGACCCCACCCCACCAAATGCAACAAGGAGGCGATGCAGCCCAGGAGCTGCATGCTGGAGCCCAGGCGAGTGCAGGGCCCATGGTGAGGCAGGTATTTTCTACAGGCACTGCTCCTTCAGAAGAGAAGTCCCAGCCCCAGGATCAGCAGGGACAGGCCAAGGCTCGGTACAAAATGTAATTGCTGTTGTTTGAGGATGAAGCTGAGACACGTCACCTTGCTTTGCAACCCTACATGGACCCGGGGCATGAGTGATGCATCCATAAATTAGTCAGAACTATGGGCTAATGACAATACTGGAATACACATGATACGGGAGTAGCAATAAATAATCCCCCTCCCCATCTCCCAGAGTGGGATGTCCCTTGGCAATTTCCAGCTAAGGTTTTGTCCTTTGTAAAGCCTGAGCACCTGCGAGCATGTTGTTGGTCAGCCCCAAAATGCCACCACCAGCTGTTTGTGACAACCCCATGGTGTCTGTCACTTGGTCCAGTTCCAAGGTCCTTCACATGCTTTTGAAGGCAGGAGTCCTCATGGTCCCCCGGACACCACCACTCCCAGCCCCATGAGGATGTGTCCTGGGAGAATGAGTTGGGAAAGCCATAGGCTCTTGTGCACCCAAGCAGGGTCCCTCGCGCAGCCCATGGGGTCCCTCCTGCAGCACTGGTCCCCCCCAGCTTTGGGGACATTGCAGTGAGGGGGACACTGTGGGGAGGCAGCCGCAGTGCACCCAGACACAAGGAGATCTCTGAGGGCCCCACGCAGCCCCACGTGGCATGGTGGGGGAGAAGGAGAGTGGGAGCAGCGCAGCACTGCCCTGCAGTCCCCGCTGCTCTACTGGGCCCGTGGAGCAGCGAGGAAATCCCAGGGGCCCGGGCTGGTGGTGCCTCGTGAACAGCAGTTGTCACTGGGAGGCGGCATGAAAATACCCGGAGAAACCACAGGCTGTGAGCTGGCAAATTTGGTGCCTGGTGCAGAGAAGAGGGAGGTGGGAAAAGGGGAAATGCTCCCTGGGGCATCCCGGGGAACCCATCGCATCATGGCCAGGGCAGTGCCGGGGGCTCTGGAGAAACCAGATCATGACCCCCATGACTGTGAGCATCCACAAGTGCATGGGGTTACACTTTTGTATGGGAGCTGGTCCTTCTCCATTCCCCCGGCAGGGGAACCTCCTGCTCTGCATCCCACGTTGTACCAGACCCACCCTGGCACAAGTTTGCCTCGTGTCTCTGGGAGAAGACGGTATTCGTAGAGTCAGACATCGAACTGGGCTTCCCAGGCAAGCACTCCCCATACTGCCTGATGCTGGAGTGTGTGAGGAGGGGTTTTAGAATCACAGAATCATAGAATAGTTTGGTTTGGAAAAGCCCTTTAAGCTCACCAAGCCCAACTGTTCCCCTAACCCTGCCATCCCACCACTAAACCCTGGCCCTAAGCACCTCGGCTGCATGGCTTTTAAATAGCCCCAGGGATGGGGACTCGACCCCTGCCCTGGGCAGCCCCTTCCAGTGCTTGACAGCCGTTGCGGGGAAGGAATTTTTCCCAATGTCCAACCTAAACCTCCCCTGGCACAACTTGAGGCCATTTCTGCTCATCTCATCACCCATTCCCTGGGAGCAGAGCCCCGACCCCCCCGGCTGCCCCCTCCTGTCAGGCAGTTGTAGGGAGCGAGAAGGGCTCCCCTCAGCCTCCTCTTCTCCAGGCTGAACCAGCTCCTCCAGCTCCCCCAGCTGCTCCCCACCAGCCTTGGGCTCCAGATGTGGTCCAGAGCTCCATACTGGAAGCACAGCATTGAGGATTTTGTGTTTTAAGATGCCAAGACTGCCAGCCCAGCTCTACAACCAGTCTCCAGGGTGGCAGCCATCCTTGCCGCCTGTGTGGGCAGCATTGCTCAGAGCGTTCCTGCTGCCCATGCTGCCACCTTCCACCCACCCTGTGCATGTCCCAGACCCCCCACGGGAGCAAGAACCCCCCAGCTGGACCTGCACAAAACCCGAAGCCATCTTGAGGGTCTGAGCACCTTTGTCCTCAAGGCCCAGGTCTTTGAACAGGAGATGGAGTTGAGGTCCTCCTGGTCCTTCGGGGAGGATGCTGAGATGAGTTTCATGAGTATTGCTGTCACATTGGTGAATCTAAGTGTGAACCTGCTGCTCAAGGGTGGTTTCATATCCTGTCTTGGTCAGTGCAGACCTCACATGGGTGCTGATTTGCTCAGACTTACCCCATCTCACACAAAGGCTATTCTGGTATTTCCTAGACCTGCTTCCTCCTTTTTTTTCAGCATTTCTGAGGCAAAGGTGCTGTGACATCAGCTCTGTTACACTTCGGAAACTCCAAGCATTTGCCTTGAAATCTGACTGACAGGGCTGGCCACCGTCCCTATAAAAAGGGAAGCCTGAGCCAACATCTCACACCAGACACAGGAGGAGTCTGCTCTGGTCCTGCCTCTGCCCTTGCAGCCCATCTCTGTCCATAATGAACACCTCCGCAGTGTACCTCTCCATCGTCCTTGTGGCTGTCCTCTTTTCTCAGGCCTCTCCTGCTCCAAGTGAGTAAAACCTCTCTCTCTGCTCTCTTGGGGTGGATTTTTGCTCTGACTGGCAGCAATTTTGAAGCAGAACTGGAAAAAGTTAGCCGCAAAGGTTGGACATCCCTGTGAACAGCTTCTCCTGTTTTCTGGGGACTGTTCTTCCTTTCTAGCATCCTTTTAACTTAGGGATTAATTTTACTGATAAGTATCAAAGTTTTCAGGTTTCACCTCCCCTGTTTTTGTTGCTGGGCTTTAGGAGTGGTCCCAGGGCGACTGAAGGGCTTTTTGTCATTGGAAGCAAGTGCAAGACATTTAACAAGCAATACTGGCAATGACTTTAATTAAGCTTTGGTGTTCCCAGCAATTTCTTGCTGGCTTTCTGGGGAAAGGAAGAGAGCTCCACAACTAACTAAGGGCACGGTTGCCCATGCTCTCAGCAGGGGAATGTGCAGTTTATTCAGTGATAGACTCATGCTGGCTTTCCTGCTCTCTTCCAGTTGGGGCTGACACAACAGTGTGCTGCTTCAGCTACGCCTCACGAAAGCTGCCCCAGAATCATGTGAAGGATTATTTCTACACCAGCAGCAAGTGCTCTCAGCCAGCGGTTGTGTAAGTACCGGCTCCTGCCCTGGGCTCTGCGCAAAGTCTTTGCCAGCCTTTGGGCTCTTTGCTTCACGTCCAGCAGGGCCAGGAGCACAGTGGTGCGAGGAACCATACCCAGAGTAAGGGAAAGGTGCTGCTACCATAGGCCCCTTGAGCAGGGTGTGAGCACCCATCCTTCTCAGCTGAGAAATAAGTGGTCTCCTTGGTCTCCTTGAGCCATCCTGGTGCTGGGAATAAAGTGTGGGAAGGAGGTCCCTGTGCAGCCAGTGGGATCTCCTGGTGGTGATGAGCCCAATGCACATAATGTGCCACATGCAGGACTGGCCGCTGGGGGGACTGGCCACTGACGTCCCAGCCACCCACGCGCTGCACCCAGGCTCCCTCCGCACTGATGGTGGCCAGGAACATCTGAGCATGGGGAGGTTCTCCCAGGGGACCTTGATTTCTCCCTGCTCTCTGGGCTTTAGCAGGCTACGCAGCCCCCTGATGCTTGGGGGTTTGTGGGATGGGAGCCTGGAGGGGAGATGACCTCTTGGGAGGTAGCCCTGGCCACAGGGCAGGTCAGCACGCACCTGGGGGGTGACCCGAGCCTGTCGCGTCCCTTTGCCCCTCTGGGGCTGTAACACCTCCCTGCCTGACAGGTTCATCACCAGGAAGGACCGGCAGGTCTGTGCCGACCCCGACGCCAGGTGGGTGAAGGAATACGTGAATGCCCTGGAGCTGCAGTGAGCGCTGGGAGCTGAGGGGTCTCTGCCCCGAGAAACCCTGCAAGACCATCCAGCAGAGCCTTGGCACAGACCTAGAAATCCTGCTGCTGAGTTCCAGGGCCTGCTGAGCCCCTGCGGGACCCCTGAAGTTCCTTTTGTCCTGCAAAGGTGCCATTTATCCACGATAATTTAGCCACCCTTACAGGCATCTGTGATGCTGGGCACCTCCTGGCTTTGCAGACCTGTCGCGGCATAGCCTGGTGTGTGACACGTGGCTAAAGATAGTGCCTCTTGCTAGAATGAGAGGGGGATTTTACCCCTAGAGCTATTTGTGAGAAGTGGTCTGGAAAAATGAGGTATGAGTGCTGCCAGGTAAACCCAGGCTTCCAGGGCAGCCGGCTGGATTTTGCCGTGGCGCGGTACATGCTGTAAGGTCTGTCTCCTCAGCGAAGGAAGCAGTGCGCTGGTTACTTACAGGATGCTTATTGTGGAACCACACTGTTTGGCTTTGTTCTCAAAATGCTGTCTCTTGCTGGTGCCAAAAGAATAAAGATGTTTTTTCTCTCTGTGTCGACTCTGGAAAAGGTTGCTCTCCTCCTGCCTGGAAAAACGGGGCTGATAGGGCCCCATTACAACTCTTCTGGGGGAGGCAGGGGAAGAACCCAAACTTCCCAGCTGGAAATGCCTCAACATCCTTAGCCCCCAAAACCTTCCCTTGCCTGGCCTCCCTGCTCCCCGCACTGCAGCAGCAGCCCCGTCACAGCTCCAGCACCTCCCAGGGCCGTTCCCTCCCAGCCTTCATGCTGCCACACAGCCGGAGCTCCCCCCCCAGCCCTTTTCCCCCATCATATCAGCAGCCAAGGCCAGGAGCCAGGCAGCCAGACCCACTGGATTTGCCACTGCGGGTTTGGCAATGGGGGTTCTGGAAATCACAGGATGGGGGTGCAGCAGCGTCTCTGCAATGAGCACGATGGAGGGAGGCTTGGGGGCTGCGCAGCCGGGACCGCGTCCCTGCATGGGCTCTGCTGGGGGTGCAGCCTGAGCTGGGCTCAGCTCTGGGTTTGTTTTCCTCCAAAAGACAGGCACCACTTATCTGCTGTCTTTGGAAAACCTGAATTTGGTTTCAAAAAGCACAAGAGATCTTTTGTAACCAAGTAAAAACTGACAAAAGCACTTATCAGCCTCTGGTTTGCATTTAAAGCTCACTGATATCTTTGTGGTTAGAGAATGAAACTGCCAGCTCTGACCGCTCTGCTGCTGAAGGTCTGCGGGGGGGAAGGAGACCTTTGCTCTCTGGGCTGTCTCCATCTCCATCATTGCAAAAGCTCAGAAGTTTTGGTATCTCCCATTGTCTAAGAGTATCCCCACCTGGCAGCTTGTGCACGTCAAATCTTCACCTCCCAGGACATTTTCCACCACGAAATGAGCTACTCATCACCCCGGGAGTAATTTCTCAGGCCCTCCTCATTGCATGATGGTGTGATGTCAACGTTGGCCAGCACAAGCTTCTGGTACTGCGTCCAGCTCTGGAGCCCTCAGCACAAGAAGGACATGGAACTGTTGGAACGGGTCCAGAGGAGGGCTACAAAAATGATCCGAGGGCTGGAGCACCTCTCCTATGAGGACAGGCTGAGAGAGTTGGGCTTGTTCAGTCTGGAGAAAAGGAGGCTACGGGGAGACCTGATTGCGGCCTTCCAGTACCTAAAGGGGGCCTATAGGAAAGATGGGGAACGTCTTTTTCATAGGGCCAGCTGTGTTAGGACAAGGGGAAATGGTTTTAAACTAGAACAGGGTAGGTTCAGGCTAGAGGTAAGGAAGAAATTTTTTACAATAAGAGTGGTAAAACACTGGAACAGGTTGCCCAGAGAGGTAGTGGAGGCCCCATCCCTGGAAACATTCAAGGCCAGGTTGGATGGGGCTCTGAGCAATCTGATCTAGTTAGCAGTGTCCCTGCTCACTGCAGGGGGGTTGGACTAGATGACCACTAGTGGTCCCTTCCAACCCTAAACATTCTATGATTCTATGATTCTATGATTCTATGATTCTATGATTCTAGCAACCAGTGATCCCCCATAATCCAGCACAAGCTTCTGGGCCATCTTGTCTGAGCCGTGCTCTTACCTAGAAAGGTTGGACCAGATGATCCTTTAGGTCCCTTCCAACCTGGGATTCTAAGATTCTAATATTTGCGATTCTGTGATTCTGCAATTCTATGATAATTAGGAGCAAGCAAACCAGTGTGAGATACAGTGTCTGTAAAACACCCCCAAGCCCACTGGTGCCATGGTGGTCTGCAAATGTTCAGGTGACTCCTGTTCTTCCCTTGCTCGTCACCACCTCTCCGCAGGTCTCCCTGTTTGTTAACCAGCATTTCCTATTGCAGTTCCTTTTAACTGCGTCAAAGTCTCTATTTCTGGCAGGAGCCAAGGCCCCAGCTCTCACCCGCTACTCCTGGGGCTCTCCACAGCCTGGGACTGTATTCCCAACAGCGCTGCACCAGTGCAGGGAATGGGTGCAGAAACCCTGCAGAGCCCCAGGGCACAGGGGAGGCTCAGTGCCCAGGACAAGGGTCCCCAGAGAGGAGGGGGCTGCCCCAGGCATGAGGCCAGGGCCAGCAAAGGGCCCTTGCAGCCCTGGTGGACCCCACTCTGGCAGGCTGACCTGGGGAGCATCCTCCCGGCGGGAGCAGGCAGCAGAGGAAGCCCCGAGATGTCTGTGCACCAAAGGGTGGTGCCGCAACCTGAACTCATCCTGTCCCTGAATCCTGGCAGGGCACCTGCCTGTGTGCTGCCCGGGTGCTGAGGGAGGGAGGGGGTCCCAAGGGTCCCAGGGATGGGGGGTCCCAGGGAGGAAGGGGGTCCCAGGGAGGAAGGGGTCCAAAGGGTCCCAGGGATGGGGTTTCCAGGGAGGGAGGGAGTCCTGAGTCCTTGGTGACAGGGCACAAGGCGGCACAGCCCCAGGCAGAAGAGGACGACTGTCCCTGGGGATGGGGTGGAAAAGTGTAGGGGAAGGGAGGTGGGTGCTGAGGGGTGGGTGCAGGGCACCCTGGGGTACAGAGGGCAGGGGACATGAAGGGGATGCAGAGAGAAGGAGGCAGGGAGCTGGGAGCAGAGGACGGGGGCAGAGGAGGGAGAGGGAGGACGCAACCAAGGAAGGGGTTCCAGTGCTTAGGTCTGTGATGGGAAGAGCCCTGACAGGGCAGTGGGATTTACAGGCCCAGGGGTGCTGCCCAACAGCCCACCCTGACAGCAGCCTTGCAGAGTGCACAGAGACCTGGTGGGAGGAGATGGAGGACAAAGAGCCAGGGCCCAGCTCCATCCCGAACTGGGGTTCACAGCAGGCTCATGGCTGGGTCCCCACACCTTCCCCTGTGCACCCAGGGGAGCTGGGCTGTGGAAAGCAGGGTTTGGGGGTCCCAAAAGGACGACTCTTATGGGGGTGGGTGGGAAGGGGAAGCCTGTGCATCAGGGAGGGGCTCCACCGATGTCCAGGCTCAGTGGTGGAGACAGGCATTATGAGCAGAAGGCTTTATTCCTTAAAGGCAGTGTGAAACCCTGTCTACAGAATGAGGGTGCAAATTGCTAATTAAGAGCACACCTGAAATGCCCCTTCCCTCAAGGGAGGAGAGGGATGCCCCTGAGTATCTCCCAAAGGAGCCCAAATGCAGGCTCAGCGGGAGGGGAGAGGTACAAGGCTCCGGTTTGCATCCCTGCACAGCAGCTCTGGCACAGCCACCATGGCAGGGGACAAGGGGCACCCTGGGACGCAGCCCGGCAGCGGAGGAAAGCCGGGAAGGGATGTAGGATCAGCCAGGTCCTCCTGAACATGAGAATAATCCAACAATGCTCATGTTGGTTTGCTTTCACGCAGTGCCTCCCTGAGCACATCACAGAAAGATTTTAAGCATTTATGTCCCTCACTCACAGATGGGGAAACTGAGGCATGAGCTTGCCTTTGCAGATCCAGGCTGGGTGAGGTGGGCTGAAGGAGCCAGCACTCCCTGTTGGGGTCACAGGTCCCACCTCCCTGCCCACAGGACCATGATGAGCGGGAGGTGAGCACTCCATGACACCAAAATCATTCCTTTGCAGGAAGAGTGGAAGAAGCTGGGACTGGCCCTGGGCTCCCAGGGACCAGAGCTGGAACACTGGGGGACCAGGCAGGGGTGGCCACCTCAGCGTGTCCCTGAAAAGTTCACAAATGTCTTCACCCTTATGGCATCAGGGTCGGTGCAGACCTGGGTGTTTCTTCCCAGTGATGAAGCTGGGAAGTGGGGAGGTGCAGGAAACCATTGTGGTGGGGAAGGGGTGCACCACTGCAGAGCTGCACCAGTCACACCAGGGCTAGGGAATGTCCTTTTTGTGACCGCTGTCTGCTGCGGAGGCAGCCAGCCAAGGGGAGGTACTGAGAAACTGGAGAAGGTCCCTGGGACGGGCTCCTGGCTCTGCCTCAATTTGCTGCTGGCTCCCGCAGGCAGGGGAGGGACCGGGGACCCAAGCGGCCACTGCAGAGCATGTGGTTGGTGTCTCCTGGGGCAGGCACCTTTGGGGTATTTCTCTGCTGCTCACCAAGTACCTCGCCTGGGAGCACATGCTCTGGCTGCACCCCCAGGACACCAGGAACAACCTCTCCTCCTCCCTCCATCCCAGTGTCAGTGCTGGCAGCTGCTTCTCAGCCACCTCCTTCTAACTGGAAAGCATCTCTCCTTGCCAGGACATGAGTGATGGACAACTCCAGATAACACCCCAACAAGTCCCACTCTTGGTCCCAAAAGGGAGAAAGATTTGTGGGGCTGAGCCAAAGGCTTCCTGCACAGGCAGGAGCCTGTATTCACACAGCGGCTGGTGCTGTAGAAATAGCCCTTCACGTGTATCCTGGAAAGCTTCTGCCAAGTGCATGTGAAGCAGCACATAGCGGTGTCAGAGACAGCTGGGAGAGATTTGCAGTGCAGGACTGAATCCATATGACCTGGAGGGGACACAACGTGGATGTCTACAACCAGCAGAGAACAAGCACTTCCAGCAGGCCACGCTCCAGACCAAGGAGTCGGAGCAGGTTGTGACTGTTCCTCACACATTACAGGATACCATCATGAGCCCTTCTTCCTCCAGGAGAGGAAAAACCAACCCAAAGACAGAGGTGGATTCACCTGGAAGCAGAGCAGGATTGGGAGCAGCGGGAAGTAACAAGGAGAGCAACAATGGTCAATCAGAGACACCTTCGTGTTCCAACCAGGAGCTAAACACAAAAAGACCATGTTTGTGCTTGGCACTGATCCATCCAGTCCCCACTTCCCACAGGGAAGCAACAGTGACGGGACGTATAAATGGGGGGCGTTAGGAGAAAGGCTTCTTGAGTCATGTGGAGCTGCCAGAGCATGGCCAGTGTTGTAGGTTAGAAAGATGGAGGTCAAAGAGGCTGAGCCGTGAGGCCAAGTTCAAGCCATCCGCTATTAAAGAGGCTGTGTCAGGATGTACATCCCCTAACAGAGCAGACACTTCAGCAGCAGCATCTAGAAACAACCACAACTGTGCTCCTTGTGTTGAGAAGAGTGGCTGAGAGCGAGAGGCGAGAACAGCCCCACAGGACTGATGGAGGGGGCAGCTACAGAATCCGTTTAGAAACAGGGCCCAGCAAGGAGGCAACACGGGGTCTGGAGGTCTGCATGGCTCACCTCCCTTCCCAGGGCTTCTCACAGCCTCACTGGGAGAGAGGGGGCAGCCACAGGGTTCATGCGCTCAAAAAGACCAGAGAGAACTGGGCAATCCAGTGCTTTGCCCATGGCACCATGAGGGTCTTCTGACCTTCTGGGTGCCTTCCACCACAGCAGGTAGTGAGGGAAAGGCCTGTGGTTCATGGGGTCCAGCAGAACCAATGCACCAGGCCCCATGGGAGCAGCTGGCCTTGGCTTTTGTCCCCCTCCGTAAGCACGTAAGAAGCCTGATGGCTGAGCAATGGTCACCCTCCGGCAGGCAACCAGGGAGTTGAACCCTTCCTTTGCTTCTCCACTGCACCATCATTCCTTCAGCTCAGACCAGGCTGGTGAACCACATGGCCTTGCTGAGTCCTGACTTGCATCTTTGACACTCGGTACCTGGTTTCACGCACATCTGTGCCCCGTGTCCTGTGGGCAGCCTCATGGTGGAGCCCATCCCAACTCACACTTTGCAGCATGGGTGTCCCTGAACTACTTGCAGAGCGAAAGAAGGGAGTGCTGGGCTGTCAGAGTTGATGTGGAGAAGGGTGTTGGGACCAGGGACTGACCTATAGCCGAGCCACCTCTTGCAGATTTCAGTGCAGCAGGCACAGAAAGGGCTGGTGCCGTCCCCAAGCCTCAAGACAGGATCATCAAGAGCATCCCCGGATTCTGCAGATCTCTTCCCACAGCAGCTCTCCCAGCTTGCCCAAGTGTCTCCTCCTGTCCACTCCCTGCACATTTGACCCCCAGGGCTTCGATTTCTCCTTTGCTCCTACAGACCCTCACCACAGTGCTGCCCCAGCCCCATGGGCCAGCCTGGCCAGCCAGGCAGCGCGGGTGGGCATTGGAGCCTTGGGCTGGGCTGCCATGGTCCCCATGCAGAGGGACCTGCCCATGCGGTGCCTGGCTTGTGGAGATGGGTCTGGGGTAGCGGGGAGCAGGAATATGGGATAGGCTGGCTTGGCTGCTGCTCCTGGAGCTTCAGGAAGGAAACCAAAATCAGAAAAGCTGGAGAGGGAAATTCCTACACGGGGCTGGGCTCCCAGCCAGGGACTGTCCAGAGAAGAGCCAGCTGCAGCCCCGAGTCCTCCTGCCCCTCCAGCCTGTCCCTTGGCTTGGGGCAAACCTCAGACCCCCCCCTTTCAGCACGGCATCCATTCCCCCATCTCCTTGCAGCACACAAAGCCCCAGGCCAGGGACTATTTTGGGCTCCTGCATTTCCTCTGCAGCACCAAACTCAGCTTCTCAGCACAAAAAGCAACTGAGTGTGCAGCAAGAGTGCAAGGGTCAGGATGCCCTCAGGGGCAGACGAGACCCCAAGCACCCCCTTCCCGGGCTCCTCGCCTACCCAGCACAGGCAGCAGCTCCTCTCCATCCACCCCACCGTGCGGTGGCCACTCTCTGCTCCCCTGTTCCATGGCATAGTGGGGAAGCCCTGCTCAAGATATACCCCTCGGCAGATTTTTGTCTCTCCCCCACGATGGGGGAGAGAGTTGGACAAGATTTTTGCAAACATGCTGATCCACCTTGTCCCTGCTTGGACCTGACCCTCTCTGCTAGGACCCTGCTGTGCCAGGGGAGTGTGGGGACCCTGCCAGGGCTGAGCAAGAGCCCATGCCTTTCCCAAATCGTCCTCCCAGCAGAGCAGTCAGGAGCCATCCCCATGAAGCTGGAGAGGAGCCCTCCTGGTGGTCCCCCATCACCAGCACCGTCTCCTGGGGCACAGCGTGGTGCCTGGGCTGGGCCTGCCCTCCACGGGGATCCTGCTCCTTGGGTGCCATCCTGCCTGCAGCCAGATTTCCAGCCTGGAAAACACAAGACTGGAAGGAAATCACAAGACAACGTGGAGGTGCTTTCCCAGCCTCAGAGTTGGCGAATCTGTTCTGTAGCTGCAGGAAAAAGATGAAGCAATAAGAGAAAGGATTTTTTTTGCATTCGGAAAGAGAAATACCAACAGACAGGAATGGGACGGCTGTAAGGCCAGGCCAGCTCCGTGCTCTTGGGGACATTTCTTCTTGGCGTGCAGAAGCAGAGGTGCGCTGAGCACCACTGCAATGGGCAAACTGTGCTGAAGCACTGTGCTTTTACCCTTGGGACATGCTCCCTCCCATTCATGTTCCCATGCAAAGCCGCACCTGGGAACGACTGCTGCAGGTTTGCTGGTGGCTGTTTTATCCTTGTAGCAGAGCTGAGCCCTTCTGTTTGTTTTACAGGTTGGAAAGCAAGGAACAAGCCCCACTGGGGTGGTCAGAAAGAAAGCTGGGGTCCCTGCCCCTCTCCAGGCAGCACTGCTGGGCTTGCAGGGCCCAGCTGCATGCAGGGGCTGGCGGGCAGAGACACGGTGGCGTCTCAGAGGAACAGAGACGTGTGAGGAGGGACACGGCAGGGCTGCTGATGGTGTGCATGTGGGTGCCTGTGGGCTCTGTGCCAGGAGACACTGCTGTTTAGCTGGCAGAAATGGCTAGCAGGGGAATTGGCCCTGCACTGCACCCCGGCACCCTTGGCACGAGGGCGGATGAGCAGCCCATGAGCACCGGGTACATATTTTACCCCGTAAAGCAACGTGTCCTTTCACCACCCCACTGCACCCACAGCGCACCCAGGGAGCATTTGGGGTGCAGCGTGCGGGGCTGGGAGTGGAAGCAAGCATACGGGAGGTGCCTGGGGTGTGTGGAGAGCATATTCCCATGTGCAAAAGGCCCATATGTGCACGCAAACATGCCCAATTCTGTAGAGGATGTGGGAGGCGGGGGTGTACGTGGTGGGGGAGTGAGGTGTCGGAGGATATTCATGTGTCTGCAGTATGGAAACTTCATGGTTTTGCCTCAAACCATTGCCCAACATCACGTGCCATACAGGGTGTGCAGAGAGGCTCAGGGTGAGGTTCTGTCTCTGGGCTGGCAAACACCACACAGAGGCGCAAAAAGGAAAAAAAGCAGAGTTTTTGTCTAAATTCTTTATTCTCCAGAACCATGATTTTTCACACATGTAAGCCAGGGCCACCCATCATCCAACACTCAGACTCTGATCCACTATCCCATAAATACCCTCTCTGCCACCCTCCCATAAATAGCATCATCATCCACAGAAGAAAGCACTGCCCATCCCATATCATAATTTCTTAAATAATTTTAAATAACACAAGAACAATAGTGGTGCAGTCCCATGGGCCTTCCCAGGCTGCAGACGGAGATGTCCGGGCAGCGGGACGAGGTCTGTGCAAGCTGGGGGCGAGTAGCAGCACCCCAACACCGGGCACCTTGCCGTCCCCTGCCAGCAGACCCCCAGAGCTGCCTGTAGGTGACGTGGGCTTGTGCAGCTCCTGTTGCCCCGGGGTCCTGCTCCATCGCAGCAGTTTGGGACAAGGCGACTCGTGCGTGACAGCAGCTAGGCTTGCCATCTTGCTTCGCTCAGTTCTGCTTCAAGTTTTGCAGGTAACTTTGAACCCAGGTGTCAGTGGGATTGGCACAGACCTGGCGGCCTCTCTTTGTGATGAACCTGTGCAACAGGGAGGAGACATCAGATCCCTGCTCAGCCCTGCGCCCCCGGAGAGACTGGATCTCAGCTTTGGGGCACTGCAAGAAGTTCTCCCCTGTGCCCTAAGCTGATGCTGAAACCAGCAGCTGGCTGTGATTTCCCACCCTCCCCCCCCCTTTCCCACAGTCCCTCCTCAGGTCCTGCAGGAACATCCCTAGACATCCCCACGGGAGCATCCCCAGCAGGCCCTATGCAAGCCTTTTCCCCTTGGATTGGGCTTGCCCTGCTCTGCCCCTACAGACACCCGTGCCCCCAGCCACCCTGCAGAGCCAGTCCCTCACACATGCACACCCAGCAGCAACTGCCCCCACGCTGCCCCAGCTTGCCGGCATCTGGGAGTCAGCACCCGTACTTACACGATGGCCGGCAGGGTGCAAGTGGTGCTGGTGCTGTAGTGACGCAGGATGAGCTTCCGTGGGAGCTTCTGGTGTGTGTAGGAGAAGCAGCAGGTTGAGAGGTTGGGTCCAACTGGAAGAGGCAAGGAGAGATGAGGTAAGCCTGTGCTGGGCTGTGCAGCAGGAGCAGCCAGCCCATTAACTCAGCGAGCCATGCCGGTGGCAAAGGGAGTGAGAAATTAGAGAATAATTAAGGCTGAAATGGACACTGGGGATCATCTTGTCCAACATCAGGGACTGGGGGAGATTCCCACCCAGTCATTGCTCAGAGCTTCGTTTTCCCACCTCCCCCAGCCCCAGGGCAGAAGCTGAAGTCCCTAAACTATAACCGGGAATAAGTACTCTGAGCCCGGGATGGCTGGGTGGATGGATGAATGGATGGATGGATGGATGGATGGACAGGTGGATGGATGGATGATTTTCTAATTCTGGGGTTCCTACATGTAGCTGATCTCAGTGCAGCATGGAGAGTGGTACAAATGCTGAGAAATTCCCCGTTATCCACTAGGGGAGCTGAATGGAGAAAAGATAAGGAAGGCTCAGTTCTGTTCTTCCTTCACAAATGAAAAAGCAGGACTCACCTGGGCCAGAGAAGGTTGGGGAGCAAGAGGCTGCAATGAGGAGAAGAGCAAAAGCAGCCGCAGTGACCTTCATCTTCCCGTTGGGTGCGGGCAGCCGGAGCAGGACCAGAAGCTCTGGCAGATGCGGCTCAGACTGCAGCAGCTGGATTCAACTCCCTTTTAATAGAGAGCCCTGGAGGCAGCTGGGAGAAGCCAGAGTGGAAATTCCAGAATGATGAGAAATGATGTCATGAAAGTGAAATAGCCAAAGGGAATTCAGGAAAAAAAAAAGCACAAGTCAGAAAGAATGGGATAGGGCTCACAACGGAGCCAAGGATGTCGAACGGTGACTCAGTGCTCATTTTCGATTTCAACAAAAGGAAACCAAAATGTGCCAAGTGGCACAGCACAAAGAGGAGAACTGTTTATCTGAACTGCAGGAGGGATTTTCCCTGGGAGCCTGTATAGCAAGAGACACAACGTTTGCCGAAGGTTATGCAACTCTGGAAAAAAAAAAAACAACACGGGCAGACTCCAAAGCATGCTCGTGCTGTTGTGTGTTGGATGTTATCAAAGGTTGCTAAACGGCAGCACGTGGAGCCGAGAGGTGGCCGGACTGCAGGCTCTGTGCTATCCAAAGCACTCTGTCCCCACCAGTCTTGGCTTAACGTGGACCGGCAAGGACCCAAGGCTGGAGGCAGCCCTGGAGATCATCCTGTCCAGCCCTTTCTTAGAGCTGAGAAGGCTGCCCAGCACCATCTCCAGGTGGGCTTTGAATGTCTCCAGGGACTGAGACTCCACAGCACCTCTGGGCAACCTGTTTCAGTGTTCACTAACAACATTTTATCCAGTGTTTAAATAGAATTTCCCGTTGCCTCTTGTCCTGTCACTGGCCATGACTGAGAATAGTCGGACTCATCTCCTTTGCTCCTCATACACATGTTGATAAGATGCTCCTGAGCCATCTCATCTCCAGGATGAACAGTCCCAGGAGAGTCTCCTAGGAGAGATGGTCCCGGCCCTTAACCATCTTCATGGACCTTCACTGGAGTCTCTCCAGCATGTCCATACATCTCTCATGCTGGGGAGCCCAGAACTGGACCCAGCGCTCCAGGATTGGCCTCGCCAGTGCTGAGCAGAGAGGAGGGGTCACATCCCTTGACCTGCTGGCGTCGCTCCTCCTAACTCAGTCCAGGAGCCTGCTGGCCGCCTTCATGGCAAGGGCACATTGCCACTCACATCCAGTTTGGTGTCCACCAGGAGCCCCAGGTCCTTTTGTGCCAAACTGCTTTCCAGCTGGTTGGCACCAGCCTATACTGGTGCCTGGGGTGCTCCCCCCTCAGGGGCAGGACTTCGCTGTTCTCTTTGCTGAACTTCATGATGTTTCCATCAGCCCATTTTCCAGCCCAATGAGGTCCCTCTGGATGGCAGCACGTCCCTCTGGTGTGTCAGCCACTCCTCCCAGCTTTGTGCCATCGGCAGACTGGCCGAGGACTCACTTTGTCCCAGGCTGTAAGATATTACACAGTACTGGCCCCCCAGGATCGATCCCTGGACTTCACCACTGGCAACCTGCTTGCAGCTGGACTTTGTGCCATGGATCACAGCCCTCCAGGCCCAGCCATTCCACCTGTTCTCAGTCCTTCTCACCACCATTTATTTACTCCATACTTCATCAGTTTGCCTATGCGGATGCTACGGGAGCCTTATCAAAGTCAAAATAAACAGCATCCGCTGCTCTGACCTCCTCCACCAAAGCATCTTTGCAGGCTACTCATAGTCACCATAACAGCCACAGGTTGTCACCAACAACCACATTGCAGGATCTCACGCTGCTTTGGAGGGTCTTTGCAGGCAGGAGGACCTTTTGCCACCCCCAGCCTCAGCCCCCAGGGGAGCGGGGGTGTTGCTGGAAGAGGTGGTTTGCCTGAACTACTCCCTCCAAAAGCTCCCTTGAATCCAAGATGGATTTTCTGGCCAAAAAGATGAGAAATGAGTGACGAAGAAACTGCTGGCATGGGAGAGAGTTTCAAGCCTCAGCAGGTCCCTGGCACTGGAGCGGTGGCAGCTCCTGCCTGCAGAGCCGGGCAGAGCCGCAGCTCTGCAGGGACAGGGTGACCTAGAGTGTCCTGGGGCGCAGCTGGAGCAGGAACAGAGAGGGTGCTCAGGCCTGTGGGTGGGCTCCAGCACCTGGATTTTCACCCCTACACGTACAAACCCCCTGCCCCGCTGCGAGAGCAGTGGAGGCTCCGTCCTGCACAAAGTGAGCTCGTCTCTGGCAGAGTCAGGAAGGAGGTCCATCCCTGGACACGGGGTTGATCTGCTCCTCCACATGCTTACCCCCCGGGCAGGATCTCTTCCATGCTCCTGCTTCCCCGCATGGTCTTGTCCCATGTTACAGCCCCAGATGCTGGTGCTCTTGGCTGCCAGATTCACAGAGAGCCCGGGCAGGACCAACTCTGCTTTGCCTACGTAAGTCTGGGCAGCTCTGGGCAGAGGTGCCTGGCAGAACGAGAAGCTTTTGGCTGAATTGCTGCAGAGCAAAACCAAATTATGGCTTTTTGCCATGGAACTAAGTCATGCTGAAACCAACAGTGGGAGTTTTATGTTCCTCTGTGCTTGCAACTCACATGCTGGTGTGTGCACGGGGAAATGACAAATGCCGGCTGCCGGCGCTGCATTGCTGGGTGAGAAAGGTTGTGGCTGCAGAAAGACAGCCTTGTGGCTAACACCAGCCAGAGACAGTCTTGCTCATGGGAACTCCACAGCTTCTGTTCCCCAGCTTGCTGCCTGCAAGGAGCAAGCCATGGGCCGGTGGCCCACGCGGTGCCACCTTGCCCACTGCGCAGAGCACTCGGGGGGGTGGGGAGGTGTGATGGGGACATGGTGCGATCTGCACCAGGCAGCTCTGTCCTCCAGCTGGAAGCCCTGCAATGGTCAGTGGAAGGAAAGAAGACGTCATTTACCGGTAATGAGTTTGGCAGAGCTGGAGGATCTGCAAAGAGCTGCCGCAGCTGCGGGTGCTTAGTTGTGTCATTGGTAACAACCCAATGAGCGCTTACAAAACTGCCCCATGTCAGCTGTGATGGTGCTGCCCCCAGCATGCTGAGCAGCCTCCTGGAAGGGGGGCACCTCTCCCTCCCCAGTTGCCCCTCTGCGCTGCCCACCCCCTGCCACAGGGCTGCGGCTTCGAGCCCCCATCTGCACCCCCATCTGCACCCCCATCTACAACCCCATCTGCACCCCAGCTGCACCCCCAGCTGCACCCCGGCCGCGCATGCCCCCTGCCAGGCTGCTCCAGAGCAATTTGCTCTCCCTGGCCTCCCAGCCAGCTTCTGTTTCCAGTTTTCTGGTTCTGCACGCTGGTTTTCGCTTCTCTATCAAATTCCAGAGCGCTCTGCTGTCACAGTTCCCACAGTTCAAGCATTTATAAGCTGACCTTCCTCAAGCTTCCTTTATTATGTCTGGAAATGAGCCATTTTTTATCATTTAAGCCTCACCCAGACTGAGGCCTGAGATTTGTTTGGGTGCAGGCAAGGTAGAAAAGGAAAACTAAAATTATTCAGAGAGGAAGACTGTAGGGAAGGATGTTACAGTGGGTGCTGAGTCTTCATCCCCTGGGACAGATGGTGGTGAGGATTAGCCCAGAGGCTTTGGGACTTCTTCAAGCCCCCACCAAGAGCCCTGGGCCCCAAAGCACACAGATACCCCCAGGGCAGAGGGATGCAGGGTACTTTGCTCGGGGCGATGCTGTGGGCTGCCGGGGAAGCCATGCCTGCCTTCCCCTGGGGGCCACCACTCGCCCGTGGGGCTGCACCATCCCAGCCCTGGCACCATCAGACAGACCTTGGGGCACGTAAAGGGGTATCATCCCATCCCTGCCACTCCTGCTAGCCATTTGATCCTCTTGCCCATAAGCCCACAAACAGATGCGAACTCTGGGGCGTGGGGTTCTCCATCTGGGAGACGCTGGTGGTTCCACTGAGGCAGAGCTGCGGTGCCCAGGGGGAGTCACAGCCTTGTCCCTCTGCTCACAGCCTGTGACAAAGGTGATTCTTGACCAAGCCCAGCTCCCCTCTGCTCCCACTCGCAAACCATCCCCAACAAGGCCCTGCTGCGGCTGCACGGCCCCCGAGGGATGCAGGAGGCCACATGAGGAGGCTGCGGGGCTGTGGCACGCCGCAAGCGGTGCCAGAGCTCCCTAAGTCCCACCCCTCCCCGAGGGGATGAGGGTGCCAGGCAGAGCCCATACTGGCCGGGGCGGCTGGACAATGGCCCTTTTGAAGGGCACAAGCCCATCTGGGGTGGCAAAAACCTCTGCATCATGGGGAGCAGGATGGGACCCACGCTTCCTGCAGAGCGCCTTAACCTACAAACAGCCCCCACACGTGGGAAGTGGTTTGCAGCCTTGCAGCAAGCCCAAAGTAAAATGTGAAGCTACTAAACATTCAAGAGGCGCTACCAGGCCCTGTGCGTGGCCGCCACAGCTGGAAAGCTCACACCTCACTGTGGGAGCGGGGGCTCCACCTCCTGTGGGCTTCCTGCCCCCGGGCCTGTGCTGGGAGGGGACCCACACCAGGCACGTCCTTGGCAGTGTGCTGTGAAGAGGAGGACCAAGCCAGCACTGGTGCACACGGGGGCTTCAGGGTGTGTGAGGATCATGCATTAGGGAAGTGCCCCAGCTGTGGCAATGGCCCTGACACGAGTTTAAAAGTCAACCCTGGTCTCAGCTCCCTCTGGGAGCAGGGAAAGGTCAGGATGGGGAAGAGCGGCTGCAAATCTGCCTGGCTGGAGTTGGTCAACAGCCGACTGGATAAGAGCCAGCAGTGTGCCGAGGTGGCCAAGAGGGTCAAGGGCATCCTTCTGGAGCCCAAGGCTGCTGGGGAGCGTCTGGGGGAGCTGGGGGTGTTCAGCCTGGAGAAGAGGAGGCTGAGGGGAGCCCTCATCGCTCCCTACAACTGCCTGACAGGAGCGGGGAGCCAGGGGGGTCGGGCTCTGCTCCCATGGAATGGGCAATGGGACGAGGGGAAATGGCCTCAAGTTGTGCCAGGGCAGGTTTAGGTTGGACATTGGGAAAAATTCCTTCCCTTCAAA